TAATATTAATTACCTTCTGGAATCATAGCTGAGTAAATTACCAAACAACACCAAGCATTGAGTTACTGGTTCTTTAATATCAGACAAACCCCTAAAAAAATGACAAATAAATAGAATTGATCACTTTTTAAACAGCTAATAAACCCCATATTTGTGTTTCTGTACCTTTCATATAATATATCTTCCAGAGAAGCAAGCACAGTATCTGCATTTTTCAAAATTATCTGGAAAATTTACAAACAAAATAGCTAAAGTTAATACTCCTTTGCACAGTYRTTCAGCACATCTMCCCCCACAGGGGAATCCTTGCATGGGGAGGGAAGGGAAATGCCTGTGCAGTTTATAAATYAAGTGATTTAGTTACTATTTATATACGCCAGTGCAATGATATGATAAAAAGTGTTGTTTTCTTGAATACCTGTACATTTTCTACGCAGCAGAAATACTCTTCAAGCTGCTTAGCTGCAGCAATGCGTCGCTCTCTGTCTGTTTCACGATTTATCCTCTTGAAGACATTTACTAGTCTGGAATCATTGCCTGTATTGCTATGACGATCTACAACTAAATCAAAATACAATAATAATGATTATCAATAATGACATAACCCTTGGATGATTCTGATCAAACAGTGGTGTTTCAAAACTTTTAGGAATAGCAATTGTACAATGGCACAAATCATGCCATGTACACGGCATAGCATAGTCAGGAAAACTTTTAAGGAATAATCCATTTTAAAGTTGCAAGCGCCATCTTGAAAGGTCTGAGTCTTTGCATCATAGCAAGACAGAAGTTGAGCCAGCAATGCTAGATAATAACAGTCTCCTTCACGGTTACCTGCGCCATCTTGAAAGGTAGCCGTGCCTTTGCATCGAAGCGAGACAACTGTTGAGTGTGCAATGATAGAAACCTTCTTTCACACCTACAGACATTATTCACAGGTTTCTATCATTGCACGCTCAACGGTTGTCTCGCTTCGATRYAAAGGCRCKGCTACCTTTCAAGATGGCGCAGGTAACCGTGAAGGAGACTATTGTCTTGTGAACAAAAGATATCTATCACTGCAGGCTCAACTCCTTTCTCTCTCTGTTTGAAAGGCTGGGTTAACTTTCAAGATGGTGCTTGGAACAAGGGCGCTAGAACTGAAATTATGACCTATAAGATCCAAAAATTGCTTAATTTATCCAACAAAAGATAGTCGATAATAAATTGTAAAGTTTTACTTATCTGAAAAATACACTGAAATGTCCTCTTAGACACTAAAAAGCACTCACATTTTAGTTTCATATGTAACAAAAATTATTGACGAGCGCTTCGCTCAACTTTTAGATGACTTTCGATTCGAAACCCGACGAGTTATAAAACATCGCGACGGTAGCGTATTTACTATTTCGGGCCTACGAAGACTCGCTCGGCCAGAACTAATCTGTCATCAGTGTCCCTAGGTCCTGTCAACTTATTCCGATTAGTGAGTCAGACGAGTGGTCAAAGGGGCCGCTAGTTATTGCCTGCCCCTGTCTCTTTTGGTGTTCGGCCAGGGCAAAGTGATTTTAATCCGGTTAATGAATAACGTTCCTGGCGAGACAGCAGTGGCTGGTACAACAAGGACAGCGGTAATAAATTCAGCAACAACCGCTTGAGAGTTTGAGTAACAATCATTTGGATGAATTTCGTAAAATCAAGTGCTTTTTAATAGTGTCTAAGAGGACATTTGAGTGTATATTTCAGATAAGTAAAACTTTACAATTTATTATCGACTATCTTTTGTTGGATAAATTAAGCAATTTTTGGATCTTATAGATCATAATTTCAGTTCTAGCGCCCTTGCTTGGAACTGTTAAATGGAGTATTGATCTCATAACAAACATTCTTTACATATTAATCATTGTTTTTTTTTTACAATCACTACAAAATCTGCTGTATATTCAACTTTTAAACATGATCAAAAGTTATACTAAGTAAAGGGTAAATAAACTTCAATAATTGCATAATAACTTATATAGAAGTTCAAATTATATTTTATTGTTTTAACATTAAAATGTGTACAAATTGCAGCGATAAATACTATACTACAAAGTGATCACGTGATCATAGCGGAATTCAAGCGAACCAACTTCCACGAAAAGTTCCCAGCTGAACGACAAAATTCCAAAATAACTATACAAAAGCTACAGGAATTGGTTTGCAAGATAATGCAAAATAACAGATGTTTTATTATAAGACAATGTACTGTAAAAAGTTTACTCTAGCTTCCATGATGAAATTTGAGCCAGCTTAACTTTACAATGATTTTTTTATCGTTTTGAGTTCAAATTATTTCATCTACCTTTGTCATCTCTTTTGTCTGTATTTGCATTGCGTGAGCTTTCCCTCTCTGAAGGTTTTTCGTCAGTTTTACGAGGCCTTTCGTCTCGTCTCTCAGGACGTCGACGCGTAGTCCGCCCATTGCGATTTGGATCTCTTTCTCTTTCACTTCGTACGCTACTAACGGAGTCTGCGGAGTTGTCTCGGCCTCTGCTACGCTGAGAACGCTCCCTGCGTGATTGCCTACCACGGCCCTGTGATCTCCCGCTCATTCCATTTCATTCTGGCTTAAATTTTCCACTATAAAAAGAGTTGGAAACACCGAACTCGGACAATACCGACGGTCGGCGCCATTTTGAATTTTGAAACAAATCAGGAGCCTCGTTTGGATGAAGGAAGTGTAAGACTGGTACTGAACTCGGCGGCACAATGGATATGTTTATAAAGAAAAACTTTCCCGCTCATTTAGAGTGGCATATTCTCAAAGATTTTAATTGATTTACAGTCTTAACGACGAAAGAGCGAAAACAAATGAAATTACCCATGTGCACTTATATTGTCTGAATTCCTGATTTATTTGTAATAGTTGCATCAAATATCTTGCCCCCCCTCCATCCTGCATTATGAGACTGTCTCAGGGCAGTCAGGGAAACCGTCTCAATCTTTCAATCAAAATTCGTGACGTGAACGCAGTCTCGAGCGGTTTTTTCAAACATCTTGTACTTTGTAATTTACAGTATCACGAGAAAAGGGAAAACTAAAAGAAAAGAGATCTTTACCTGAAACCAGACGTTTATCACTGTCAAGCTTGCGCTTCCTGCCTGAGGGAAAGCTGCCTTAACAACTTACCCAGATATCAAATCAGTTTCCGAAATAGGAAGCTGGATGTCCAAAGAAAAAGGTAAGAAGTGCGAGGAGAGAGCCTGCCCCTAAATCCGACACCACCCTGACAGTTGTGTTAACTGGAAGTCTAATAGTTACATTTCTATTTATTTATTTATTTATTCATTTTATTTTTGATAGGCCGGTTACTTCTTGTACAATAATAAATACTATTTTTTACTTCCTCTCCAAAACGGAAAGCGGGACAAAATATCCTAATAAGACTAAAAGCAACTTTGTTTTGAGATTATTATTCTAAGTTAGACTTTGAATTCCGGAAACTTGTAATACCTTTATAGGATGTGAGAGATAAAACTGTGATATTCCTCTTCACGTAAATCATCGAGTCGATTATCTTTTGACTAAATGCCGGCTATAAACAATACAATCAGCCAATGATCATCCTAAATAACATAACATGATACTACACTCAAAGCTTGACCCGGCGTCTCCGACTCCAAGCGTTTGCGCTAAGCTATTTACTCTCCTAAACGCACGTACAGTGCTTCGACTCCGTAATATGTAATATCTCAAGAAACTTTCATAGAAAAGCTATAGAAAAGGGGTGAAATCAGTCACTAGGAAATGGCTAGCAACCATGCGCAAAATGTGTTCAAGATCAAGGTCCTCATAAGCACGAAGGTAAAATCATATGATTTGAACAAGACGCCAGCCATCACGAGGAATTTTGAATCTCAAATCAAATCATGTCCCGGTGATAAAAGCGTTTTACGGTTGATCTCGCAAACAATTTCCAGGCAGGTGGGATTTTCGGGTGATATGGCTATATCTTACTTGACTGGCTGTCCGTTTGGCTATTTTTAACTTCTACTGCCCACGAAATGACGCAAATTCATTATGTCTACATTGACTTTGTAAGCAGGCGGTCCTCCTGTTTATTGTTCTTTTGATCATAAATGGGGAACTCTGGTAATACGTGGGTGGACGCAATACACACTGAATAATAAGAAGCACACGTCCACAACCGAATACCCTCGAAAAGAATCAAATTTCCTCAAAACATATCGCAAAAACCATAAAATATCTCTCTAGATTTTAAGCAATATTTCACTGGAGAAAATAAATGAAAGCTCAGTTATAAWCGATCTATTTTAATAGATAGTTTCGGGTTAAAACGAAACGGTACTTTTTTCGTTTATTTATACTGAATGTCGGACTGATGACGTCATATTGACGTCATCATCGTTAGATATTGGTCCTCGTGTGGTGACGTGCGGGCCTTCTCCGTTCCTTCTCTGTCCGTGTTTCAAGATGGCGTCCTCGAAGCGACAAGACGGAGATGCAGAAGCATTGAGGCAGTGTGAGATTTACGTTGAAAAACACAACGTTCAAGGAGTCTTGAAGGATTGTATTGTCCAACTGTGTATATCAAAACCAGAAAATCCCTACAAGTTCTTTCGAGAATATTTCGAGAAATTGGAAAAGGTTGGTTGGCTGTTGTCTTCCTCTCGGTGATGTTGTTTTTACCGATCAGGATGTTCGTTTTGGTGTCAATCATGTGATTTCAAACTACACGTATGAACTATAAGAAATGTTCTGTATTTAGTATATAACGAAAAGAGTCTTATTTCTTGGCATGTTTTGTATTTTTAGGAGCACGAAGATAGGAAAGTCGAAGCATCAGGACTAGAAGCTGAGCCCGAGCAAAGAACCGAGTTRGAGGAACAGCCTCCTCTCACTTCAAAACCATTTCAGCGACAGCGAAGAGGAGCAGTTAGTGCCGCTCCCATAACCGAAGATGAAGCAACATCGTATGTTAAAAAGGTTAGTCTATCGAAGTTAAAGGGTTTTCTTAACGATAAACTAAACTAACTGGCATGGTGTTGTTGTTGTTTTTGGTTTGACAAAATCCCAGGTCGTACCGAAAGATTACAAGACAATGGCTGCTCTATCCAAAGCTATTACTAGAAACATTCTGTTTTCGCATCTGGATGAGAATGAGCGAAGGTTAGTGAGCTTTTTTTTTTCTCCTAAAAAATCAAATTAAATTCCAACCATGATCAGAGACGTTCGCAAATCTGTGTTTTTTTTTTGCTCTAACTGTTGATTTTATTAAATTTTCAGTGATATTTTCGATGCTATGTGTTTAGTCAAACACAGTGCTGGCGAAATCATCATCCAGCAAGGTATTAAAGTTAAAATAGCAATCAAACTGAGAGGAAATTGTCAAAATGCTTCAGAAATTGTAAAGGAAACAAATTTKTGTTGGCAGTACAGTGCACTGACATTTTGAATTCGGCCTTGCAGTCTGTTGCTRGCAAAATTGTAATTGCTACCTTTCCTGAATAACGAATTTGATGCATTGATTTTATTGCATTTGATCTTTCATAGGCGACGAGGGTGATAACTTTTACATTATTGACAGTGGCGAAGTYGAGGTAATGCTGAAAAATGTAACTTTCTGTTACTTTAGCTATCCCCTCTCTCCAAAGCATCCCCTTGATCTTTGAAGGAGTGTTATTGTACCTGTTTTTTATTCAGTTTCTTGTGCATGCTTTTTGTAATTCCAAAGAATTACAGTTCTTATGTTRTTGACTCTCTTAAAGACACTCTGTCATGCAGAACAAATCCAAAGGTCTTATCACCTATTGTGTATTATTATGGAACTCTGTGGAGTTTACTTTGTCATGTCTCCCTGATTTTCGAATTTTCTTGGCATTTTGGCGTAAGCCACCAGATTGATTGATTGTTTTGATATGGCCATGATACAAACTTATACATGAAATCCACTTTTCAATTTCTAATATTCTGTGTTTGCATGTTTGGTGATGTCCRGGTAATCATGGTCTGYTTTGTTTCCAGGTACTGGTTAATAATGCTTGTGTAAATACGATCAGCGAAGGTGGTAGTTTTGGAGAGTTAGCACTCATTTATGGTACACCAAGAGCAGCCACTATCAAGGTAGATATGCTTTCACTAAGACTTGTCAACATTATATTCTTATCTGAAAAAAAACAGTCTCTATTTCCTTGAAAGAGTGTTCATTCAAGATTGGATGTTTTCACTCTAAAATACTTCACACAATAATTATTTAGAGACTGTATTTCATTCATAGTTCCGATAAATCAAATGGCTAGTCGCACGCTTGCTCTTATTTGTCGAAACCATGAATTGCTTGAAGCTCTTCAACAAACTTTAGTAATGTTTTTACTGTGTAACCTTATTCATGCATTATCTTTGCATCTTCAGGCCAAGACTGAYGTTAAGCTATGGGCCATTGATCGCGTAACATATCGAAGGATTCTCATGGGAAGTCAGATCCGTAAGAGACGTATGTATGAACAGTTCCTGGAAAAGGTCAGCATCCTTGAATCACTGGACAAGTGGGAGAGGTTRACTGTTGCTGATGCTCTGGAACCTGTCCAGTTTCAAGATGGTGAAGAAGTTGTTGTACAGGGCGAACATGGAGAYGAGTTTTACATTATTGTCGAGGTACATTCGTGATTTTTTATTATCTAGAATTAGTAATTGTTATCGTAGAGCAAGTCCACCTTGTCTGGAATTGATTCATCCTCGGGAACCCAGGGGTAATCTTCTGTCGTTCGTTAACGAACGACAGAAGATTACCCCTGGGTTCCCGAGGATGGAATTGATTGAGTACAAGCTGAAAGTTCTTCTGTGGATCAAAGTAACCGATAGTCATGTTGGTTGAAGTCAATCACCAACGTGGCTGCCGTGTTGTCAATTGAAATTCATCAGAGATACAGAATAATTACACCTACACAAACATCCATGTAACAAAGAAACTGGGATATTGTTTACATGTCTAGAATAATATGAAATATCATGTGTTATTGTTAGGGATGTGCTGTGGTTCTTCAAAGACGGGCTCCCAATGAGGACTTTATTGAAGTCAGCMGACTAGGGCCTTCTGATTACTTTGGTAAGCTCTTTCTCTCATGAACTAACAAAGAAGATAGGTGGGCAGACCTAATGATAGGTAGAACTCTTAATTTTTCTTTAGCTAAAACTCTTTTTWATTTTCTTCATCAGGTGAGATTGCACTGGTCCTAAACAGACCCCGAGCAGCTACGGTCACAGCCAGAGGTCTTCTCAAATGCGTCAAACTAGACAGACAGAGATTTGAACGAGTTATGGGTCCATGTAACGATATCTTGAAGAGAAACATCCAGCAGTACAACAGCTTTGTTTCCCTTGTGGTATAATAGCCCATGTATAAAGATTGTTATATATAGATGCTGGGTTATGACGTGTTGTACATAGACTGTTACATTATGCTTCTAACATCAAGGTTAATACTCGTTGTCTTGTGGTATACTATCTTGTGGCACAGATCTAAACATTCCCCAGTGATTGAGCCGTCTTCAGTGGATTTGATAGTATGGAGTCAGATAAGGGTTTAAAATAATCTTGATTTTATGTATACACATCTGTTTCCTACTGTAATCATAGTTCTTCTTAGAAACTGTGATGCAAGAGCATTTTATCATTTAAGATTTCAACTATTTTTAGTGTGTTTTAAAGTAATTATAATTAACATTGATTGAAATATATCTCGATCTAATCATTGTAATCGAAGAGTGTTGTGTGTTTATTGATGTGAAATCAGTTAAGCATTTTAGGATGTACAATCTCCACCATATCAAATTCCACTGGCTCAAACATTACCTGTAGTTTTGGTTAAAATTTCTCTTTTGACAAAAAAAAACACGTTTCTTTCTAACAGTTTCCTTACTCAGGTGAAGTACTATTAAGCTTTAAAACATAGTGCAAATAACTCTAGCTTTCCTCTGTTAAACAATCATTCTAAAACATATTCTAACAACATTTCAAACTGATATTATTTTGTTTCTGTCGTGGATAGTTTATCAGGTTAAAATCTACTTTCAATGAGTATTAATAATGAAACTTTAAATATTACAGATTCATTTGAACACAAATACTGCTTTACATTTAATAGTTCAAGTGTGTGTGTCTGCAATGTAAAAAGAACAGGATGGGTTTCATTGTTGACGAGGTTAGTCCACCATACATGTCACCCCGATGCTCCAGTCAACATGTAAACCATATATTAAAGGTTATACTAGGTTTTATTTTGCATATTTTTACATTCATGTATAAGTAGAAAGATCAGTCATCCTTTAGCTTGTGATAGTGTAAAGAATCTAGTAATTTATTATGGCTGGTTAGAGAGATGAATGGATTTTACCCATGTGTAAGCCGCATTCATAGATATTCCACAGACAAGTACTAAGTTGTTCACAGGGCATCCTTGAACATATTGGTACAACTAAAAAAGCATTATGACTGTTAAAACCTAAGTTTAGAAGTTCAATTTTACTTTTAAACAAGTTTTTCATTTTCATTTAAAATCTTGACCAGCTTTATTCAATATTCAAAGCATTTATCTGAATTAAAGCTAAATGACAACATTTGTGGCAATGAATGCACCAAACACATGGGTAATAGCTGTGTCATTTGATTATTTTCTGCGAGAGTTGTTCAGAAAACTGGTCAGAGTTTTCTAAGTTGTTGTAGTTTAAATTAGGACTATCTTTGGAAGTGTTTTCACTTCATCAGACTGTAATATTCAAGACCTAATAATATAATAAATCAAAAATATTAACTAATATTTGTCATCCTTTGTGTCTTTGGTCAACATTTCCATGATTCAACATGAATATCATTCCTGAACCATAAATAAAATGTTTATGTTTCAATCCATAAAATATGAAATTTTGTTTTTAATTATTGTCTTGTGTGGTGTTTAGTAGCAAAATTTTAGCTGACTTGAAGGGTGATAAAACAGCCTTTCAAAGCCAAAATTAAAAAAACAATGTGACCTTTGATGTACTATGAAGATTTGATTTGTTTTACCATTAATTTATGATCCTTTCTTCCCCTAACCCCACCCCCATTTAAAAATATTAAATACATTGCTGATTGATGTGAAAGCGTTGTCGATTAATAAACGTAGATRTAGATGTAGTTTGCTATATTCACATTTAGTGCAATAATCTGTGAAACAAATAAACAATTAGCACTATGTAGATYTGATTATTTGAAGTAAACTTGGATCATTTAAAATCTTAGAATATTACTAACTACTTATTCGTATCCATGACAGCATAACTAAAGTAAAGATGATTGCTATGGCAACATTCACTAATATGGGAGAAACACTTGAATGTTTATTTAGTGCTTTTCTATCATGTCCCCTCTCTTTAAAATAGCTGACCACTCCCTGTAGATCATACTTAATTGGAGAATATCCTATCTCATGCCTTGCTTTGTTGATAGAGAAGTAATGTGTCACACCAGTTTTGTGAACCTGAAATAAATATAATGGGATGATTATTACCAGGTCATTACACCTTACCAACCACTTATCTTACCAACCCACCTTACTAACCACTTACTGACACCTTACCAACCACTTACATCTTACCAACCCACCTTACCAACCACTTGCTGACACCTTAGCAACCACTTACTGACATCTTACCAATCACTTACTGACACCTTACCAACYACTTACTGACACCTTACCAACCACTTACTGACACCTTACCAACCACTTACTGACACCTTACCAACCACTTACTAATAAAGTCTTAAAAAAAGGTCAACACCTTACCAACTACTTACTGACACCTTACCAACCACTTAACTTACCAACCAATTACAGACAACTTACCAACCACTTACTAATAAAGTCTTAAAAAAAGGTCAACACCTTACCAACTACTTACTGACACCTTACCAACCACTTACAGACAACGTACCAACCACTTCTGACACCTTACCAACCACTTACTGACACCTTACCAACCACTTACTGATACCTTACCAACCACTCCGATAAATTCACTTATTGACACAACATATTAAACAATTACTAATGCATTTTCAGCCATTCAACAAATATTGCAACAGGAAAATAACACACAATGTGATCACACACCTCAGTTCTTGTTAAAATTGGCTGAAAATTATATATATACTTTCCAACAACTGAATGAATGATTTCTGTTATAAACGCTGCAAGCAATGAGAGAGAACAATTATTCTGCTTCAGAAGTTTATCAAATGCATTAATTAAAGATTAAAGTGTGGTTGCACAAGCTATACATTATTTTGCAATGATAATGCAACAAATGTTTGAGTCTTTAGTTTTTTCTTTCAATATGYGTATGTTGAGTTGAAGGAACTCTAACACTTGTGCAAGAACATTARAAAGTACTCATTTCTCAAGTGTATTCATTGATGTAATTCAGACACAGGGTTTGTGCAACATTTTCACTACAAAATTCCAGGACTTTTTAAGCATAAAAATGCGATTTCCAAGGAGTATTTTTGAAGATATTTTTAGATCTTTGCGGACGTTTCAAGTGGCGATTTTTTTAAATAGCCACATTTCAATCCAAAAGCTAACAATCAACATGTCAATTTTATCAGATTCAAGGAGTTTTCCAGGAGTTTCAGAGATTTTCCCAATTTTCAAGGGCTTTCAAGCGCCCTTGAAAACGAGTTTTCAATTCCAGGACTTTCCAAGGACTTTAAGGAGTAGCAAGACAAACTCTGCAGACATCTTTTTGTCTGCACTTATGTCTGCTTATGTTAACTTAAAATACTTACCAATGAAATAGACGATTTTTAATGGAATATTTATTGTTGGGAATTTGTATCCCAGGCCTTCAACCTAACAGAACATAATTATAAAAATTATATTTCAATCCTTTATTTACAGCAATTTGCCCCTCTCCCATAATTTCAATGGCATCACAACCCCAATTTGCCATCTTGCCCCATTATTTTATTCTTCAGTTCAAACAAATAAAAATAACAAAATAAGAATACTAACCAAAGGTCTAAAGAATTCAAAGTTGTTAACTGGTCTTCCATCTGAAATAAAGTAAGCCTGCCCTGCCTGGGTAAACAAACATCAAAATTTCATTAATCATTTATTCACATCATGAAGTAGTGTAACATTTTCCCTAGGATTGCCACAAGTAGGAACCTCTTTGGCAAGCATGGAAAATGGCAACTGTGAAAGTCTACATTTTTACCAAGCATTTGATATACTTACAGCAGTATGATTTGGCCCTGTCAATGCAAGCCCTGCCATAACATGTGCATGCACAAGGTTGTCAACATGTACAAAGTCGACCTTGTTATCTTTAGTACCATATGTAAATGCAAACAAGCCTCTTTCGATATATGACTAAAATTGATTGAATTGAACAAATTAACAAACCAAAACACTACTCAATATCAAGAATGAAGACATTGATTTTTTTCACACTTGTATCATCAGATAAAACTAGCAATTGATCTGAGTAGATTCAGTTGTAAGTAAATAGAAACTCACCACTATTCTTGGAAGATGACGCTGTTCACCTTCACCATAAATACCATTAGGACGAAGTGCAGTGGTTTTAAGAACATTGCCATCTATAGAACAAACAAATATATATGTTGTAGTTCAGGTTCAATATCATTTTGAACCAGTTCAATTTCTTCTGAACTGGTTCAGTTTATTTTTGAGCCAGTCCAATATAACTCAATCCAGTACAAATCAGTTTAGGGTTAGGTTTTGGGTTAGGTTTTGGGTTAGGTTTAGGGTTAGGGTTAGGTTTTAGGTTAGGTTTAGGATTAGGTTTAGGGTTGGGAATAGGGTTGAGCCAGCATTACATGATAATTATCTTCATTAATAAATTATAATTAAGATAAAAACTATTTGCAAACATTACTACCAACAAAATCCTTGATGGTGTAATTGGTAGTACCATGGACTATCAAGCAAGAGTTCAGTGGTTCAAACCCTGATGAAGTTAAGTGTTATCATAAATTATAAATATAAAAATATCAATATGTCTGTGGGGTATAGGGTAAGATAAAGTAGGAAATAGTAGAAGGTAGAAAATAAGATGATAGATAGAAAATGGGAGAGAATGAGATAGGATATAGTTCTTTTAAGAATGCCAAAGCAAAAAACAAAGGACCAGTACAAGAAGTATTATATATTATTACTTATGAAACGTTGAGGTAAACTAGCTCAGGTTTTAAAGAAACTTTTGAAAAAAAATGCAATCTGACTGAGAAAATCAGAGTTAAAGTTTATGCAAATGAACAAGAAATCTGTATGTAAATATACAACTCTCGTCATGGGCTATGATTTCTATTGTGTTTTGCCTTATGAATATTAATGAGTTTTATAAATATACATAAAGATTTAATTTTTATTTTTCTTTGTGTCGCTGTCTTTGAGTTACAGGCTGAAGCTTGATTGCCTACTATTGTTAATCAAGTTTGTATAATTGAAGTCTCTACAGTGCCCCAACACCAATAGCAATCATAACGTTAGACAGATAAAATGATGCCAGAAACTAGAGGTAAATTAGTATGAGCTGCAGACAGACAGTCAGAGAAAGACTGCCTTTGTCAAAGAGCGATCRTGATAACTTACTGACCTTTCAAAGGTGATTGGTTGGATGACAGAACAACTTGCTCAGCTATAGACTTTGTTCTTGAATAATGATCTGTATGCTAAAACGTGCACAGTATAATCATTATATTGAGATAAATATTGTATGACAAGTATGGGATTTAATGAATAATGAAGTAATAAATAATACCTGATCCATTGGTAAATATGGAAGSGATTCATTGCCATTTATGATTTCATCATGACCGAATACAACATTGTAGGTACTGGTATAAACAAGGTATGGAACACTGTGTGTATAACAAGCTACAACAACAACAAGTCATTATTATCTCTAATGTCCATGGCAATGATAATTATATATCATCAAATTCATTAATAATTCATAAGGTAAACACAATGGAAAATCATTGCCGTGACCACATCTTTATATGAGCAAGAGATTTGTCCTGATTTGCATATGACTTTAACTTTGATTTTCTCTTACAAATGATATTTTATCCCGAAGTTTTTGTTTTCAAAATATGCTTTACCTATGTTGGAATTTGATAAGCAATAAAAAATATTCGCGTCCGACCTTTATGGGCTATAAARCTGCTCATATTTTATACATTTACATAAAAAATGGAACAAAGAAATTGTGCTTTGGAGGGAARGTGTAGGAAGAGAAGATCAACTAGAGTGAAGACAGTATGGAGATGAACATCTGAAAAAGAGATATATAAGACAGAGTAGAAGGACTGGAAGATCACACATTGGATAAGCCAAAGTGAATAGTCTTCTTCAYGGTTCCCTGTGCCATCTTGAAAGGTAGTCGTGCCTTTGCATCRAAGCGAGACGACCGTTGAGTGTGCAATTATAGAAACCTTCTTTCACTACAGACAATTATTCACAGGTATCTGTCATTGCACGCTCAACGGTTGTCTCGCTTCGATGTAAAGGCAYRGCTACCTTTCAAGATGGCACAGGGAACCGTGAAGGAGACTTATTGAACCTTTTTGTCTTGTMTGACTCACACTGCATGTGAGCAAAAATGTTAGGCAAACTGAATCAAACTGAAGTCCCAAGTGGTGCATATATTTGTTACTGCTAAACTAACCTTCAAGAATATTTTTGGTCCCCTGTATATTAACTTGTTCAATCAAATCTTTGTTTAACTTGAAATGGTAACAGAATGCAGTATTTTAAAATTMTGTCCATTTGTGTTAGACAGATAATTATTATTATTATTATAAATCATTTAAGACTATATAAAACAATTTAAAATTCATAAATTATGCTGTGTACATCCAGGGTTTTTTTTTGGGGGGGGGAGGGGTGAGAAACAGATGCACACAGGCTACTCATAATAAATAAAAAAATGAATTTTTTCATCTCTTAATAAATCACATTGTATTATTGAATAAAATTTATTGACTGCATATCTTTTAGTATTCACAGTGTAAGCCAGAACACAACAGAACCATAGAACAATTGTTGAGCATGAGACGTCAGAGTTTGAAATATTTAAATTGTTGGATGGTGATGAGAATTAAGACAATAAGCTGCACCATATTTTGTACATAAGAATAATGGCGATGATACCTGTTCCCGTCCTGACATGCCATATGACGCTGAGTGAAACACAAAGGTAGCTCCTTGGAAAACTGTTTCMAGGTCATTTTTCTCACACACACTTCCCTGTTGATATAGAGCATGTGTTGAAAATCGTCTCATGCACGCACAATAAAAAATACAATTTAAGCAGCCTTGGGATTTTCTGCCTTTGTATGTTTAAGCATATATAGTAATAAAATATGAATTTCTTTGCCATACATTTAAGCACACTTGCGCATGCAAGTAAAGTTACATAATAAGCTATAAACTTGCCTTGTAAAATGTCAAGTCTTCCATTTTTTCAGGCTTTTTCAAGTCAAAAAGTATAACATCAGCACCCTTATCTCTCAATGCACGACCAAGTTTACAGCCAAAATAGCCACCACCGCCAGTAACAACCACCTTTAAACCCTTGTAATCTACCATCTTTTTATCCGCCATCTTTGAATTAACCAGGAAAATAGCACAGGGTGACCAAGAGATCGAGAATCAGGTTCTTGAGTGAGCTACGAGTACTAGAAAACGTTTCAGTATTTGAATAGATAATTAAATGAAAATGAGACATTCTGATCATTTTCTATAGATTTTGATTCAAATATTAAATGTCTCGCGGTCTTCCTGTGACGTTCTAATTTACGTCATCGAGTTGATTAGTGACGTCACAATCGCTAATTAAAACCAGATTAATCGAGATTTGAATGAATCAAGACGTATTTTTCATATGCTCAGAAAATAATCAAAGTTAACTTTCGTTGAACAGCTTTGCTGCATCCTTACCATGGGGTGTATGCAAAGCAAACCATTGTGTAAATGCCAATGCTTCGGCAAAAGGGACATATCTCTAGATGAGGTAAATAAATGATTTTCATTTTTCACGTTCGCTTTTCACAATTCTAAAATCCACATTCCTTGTCTTTCTTCGTTTCCGTTTAACCGTATTTCATTTCATGTTCGTTTTTGTCCATTCTGTTTCCATTCCCATTCATTCCATTTGATTTATCTTTTTTTTTGTTTTTCATTCAGATTTACAAAGTACCATCCTGTACGACTGAGGTAAGACATCAGTGTTAGCACAGCTTAGGCATAGCATCACATACAATATAACAAGAACGAGGGAAAAGCGAGACATGAAGATGCATGAATAGCAGCACTTTAAAAACATAGCAGCACTTTTTCAAAACATAATACACCACATCGCATGTTTAGCAAAACAGCATAAACAGCCGCATAAAAGGAACTCATTACATCTTTTTCTTTATGCACCGCGAGCTCAGTTGAGACAAATACTGCAATATATAGCTTTCAGAATCAGATGATAGATACGTCGGAAAAATGAATGTTGCTCTCGGTCCTCAACAAATCAGCTATTTTTGGAATTGCACATCTTATCCAATCAAAATTTATTTGTGAATCTCATACGCGGCGCCTGATTGGATAAAATTCTACCATCTCAAGTCGAGAAGAAAACGAAGTTGATCGAAGTCGTTGATGGAGGCGATAAAAAAGTGATTTTTCAGATAAAATTCGTRCCGGCCTATTCCTCAAGTAAACAATTTTTTCTGAAAGAAGTAGAAAACATACTTTAGCATTAGTAAAATGGAGTTAAAGTATTAAGCGATATGGGTTCAGAAATCGCTAAAATGCAAAAGCAATGAAGATTGACAGACAGCCTTCTTCGAACGATAAAACTGGTTCAAACGAGTCAAAAAAGAAATGGATAAAGAGACCCAAAAAACGAACAATTGCTTCAAAATGTGAACTGTAGATCAGAGGAAATAGTTCGGAATGAGGACTTGTTACAGGTATGTTAGTTCTTCAAGATAAGAATAAGTTCTTAYAAMAATTTCATTTTCATTTTTGSCGTCTTCATTCTACTTTGACTTGCCTTTTTCTTCTCCAAGCTCTCACAGTTGTACTTTTAACTAACTATACTTCCAATTACCTTATACCGACAATATGTGTTTTAAATCTCCAAAGAGGTCGAAGAGGAAACATTTTAGTAAGTAAACAATTTTTGTGCTCTTTGCGGCCCGAATTCAGCTAATAACTTACTATTCTATACTTCATGCGTATGGCTATAATGAATGAAAACTCTTGCTAAACATGTTTGCAGACTAGATCGTATTTACTTGAGGAATCTAACAAATTTCACCCTGCAAAAATCGCCTTCGGTCCTTTCGTCTTCTTCCAAACGATTTGTGTAAGCTTAACTTATAAGATTTGTGCTTACTTACTATCATTTCTCCTTCTTCCCGTCGTAACTATGAAAGTTGAATGAGAATTAGAGTAAAACAGCTCGTTTCTTTCATTATCAGGCTTCTCTTGAATCTTTGGAGCGAGAAATCATAAGATTTAAGGCGCGTCAAGAACAAGCTGCACGAAGAAGAAGTAGTTCGAGCTTAGGTAAGCTACATTTCAAAAACTATTATTCAACTGTTGATATCATGGACAAGCAATACTTTTGAAGCAGAGGGAAACAAAAGCAAATCATCGAAAGAGCTTGATGACCAATCAAGGCAAACAAGTACGAGAAATTATACCTTCACCTGCAGGGGCGGATCCACCTTTTTACAAGGGGGCGGGGGGTGTAGGGGTGTGTGCTTTTGTCATTAATATATAGCTAAAGTATAGCAGATGAAACTGTTCATTTTTGTTAGCTGTGTATTGTCTACGGAGAGAAATTTTTGCACAATTTGACCGGAAGCAAATTCACTTTTATTGCAACGTATCTTTGACTACACTACTCAAATAGATTGTTAAAGCAGCATAGTGGCAGACAAATGTTTTGTATGCTACTCGTTCTCTCGATAATAGTGCAACAGGAGTATAAACAGCAGTTAAAAACATTTATACTGATATATAAAATAATTACGTATTACAAAAAGGCGAGATAATATTTTAGGTCAAAGACACCAATTCAGGATTATTGTAAAATGGAAATGTCTTAACATTAATTGTTGCAGTCTCGTGAGTCCATTTTTAATCATTTGACTTCTGTAGTTGGTTAGCAATCAATTAAATTTCAATATGTATTTATAAAATTGGTACGACAGCCAAGCAAGTCACTCAAAGCAACCAGTCAACACCATATACCGTCCAATCAACCCAAGAGCTTCGCACAGATCGTACATCGAAATCAAGTGCTTCATCACCTGTACTAAAGAGAGACCAAGAAATTAAGAGTTCTATACTTGTCTTCAGAGCTACAACAGAACACCAGGAACGCAAAGAGAATCCTTCTTTGGCAAGAGTTGTCAAAGAAGAAGCAATTAATACAACATCTGCAAAGACCCAAGAGCACAAAGAGGATACCCCTCTCTTAGTTTCTTCAGTAGGCGACACAGCACCCAAGGACAGTGGTGACAATGACAAGGATATCCCTACGTCCTCTGATGTAATGGTCAAGGAGGAAGTTGTTGACGCAGCACCAAAGGAAAGTGATGACGGTGACAAAGATATTCCTACGTCGCCTGATGTAGTGGTCAAGGAGGACGTTTTGGACGCAGCACCCAAGGACAGTGATTACGCTGACAAGGATATTACTACATCGTCTGATGTAGTGGTCAGGGAGGAAGTTGTGGAAGCAGCACCAAAGGACATTGATGACACTGACAAGGATATTTCTACGTCACCTGATGTAGTGGTCAAGGAGGAAGTTGTGGACGCAGCACCAAAGGACAGTGATGACACTGACAAGGATATTCCTACGTCACCTGATGTAGTGGTCAAAGAGGTCGTTGTTGACGCAGCACCAAAGGACAGTGATGACGGTGAAAACGATCTCCCTATGTCACCTGATGTAGTGGTCATGGAGGTCATTGTTGACGCAGCACCCAAGGACAGTGATGACACTGACAAGGATATTCCTACGTCGCCTGATGTAGTGG